CAAGGCGCGATCTTTCCAGATTTTTGATAATCGACTCATAGCGTTTTTAGCCATGCCTATTCTCCTACGTATTTCTGTTTCACAAGATCCTGTATTATTGATGTAGGATCCTAGATAATTGAACTCGTTAACCACTTCAAACTGGTCCAAGGCTCCTGTTGTCTGAAGTGAATTTGAATAGTCTACTATCATAATTTTTGTTTTTTGTTTATTGATCTTGAGACCACATCTATTGCTTTCGACTTCCACTAGCTGCAGCAGGCTGGACATTTCTTCTTCGGATGCAGTTATTAATGTTGTATCATCTGCATATCTGAGATTTGAGATCTTTTTTCCTGCTATAGAAATACCGCCATTCCATTTGTCGAGTGCTTTTCTCATTATATATTCCCCATAGAAATTAAAAAGACTTGGAGATAGAATACATCCTTGTCGGACTCCTCTGCCTATTTTAAAAGGATCGGACTTATGATTTTCAATTCTTATTCTGGTTTCACTGTTCTCATATAGACTTTTCACCAGAGCTGACAGATGATCAGGAACCCCCATCTCATGTAGAACTTTCCACAAAACTGTCCAGTTTACACAGTCAAATGCCTTCTGATAATCCAGAAAGCAGATGATCATCGGAATTTTGAATTCTCGTGCTTTCTCAATGAGTTGTCGCATATTAAGAATTTGCTCCCTTGTGCCTTTACCCTTAACGAAGCCTGCCTGTTCTTGTGGTATTTGTCTATCCAGGTATGTCCTGTTTAGGTAAATTATTTATCAGTTCTCTAGTTTCTCGTAGAAGTTATCTTTTACATGCTCTTCCTTTTCCTCTGTCGGTGCATGGGCAGCAACTAGGGAATAGTTATGTAGTTGTCCTTTGATTCTGATATAACAAAGTCTTTCATTAACGGGTTTGAAAGTTAAAACTGACCCCACAAGACTTTCCCTGACTATAAAACCAGTTCCGAATTGATGTTCTCGTTCGCTTCCGCTGAAAAATACTACTGATTTATTAGTTTTTAGTGTACCTTCTCCAGTCCATCTAATCTCTTGTAGAGCAGTTATGTCCATGTTTCTGGATTCAAGTTCTTTGACCACCTGAGTTAGGGCTCCAGGCCGATATAGGCTTAGTACGTTCCAGGTTCCTATATTCATTGTCCTTTGTCGTCGCTTTTGTCGTCTTAAAAGATCCGTCCTTATCCGAGGCATGTGCTTCGTTTTCATAACTATGTTTTTTTTTACAAGAAGGAATAGTTAGTCCCTTGCTTAACCCTCCTCCTTTCTCATCCTGGACTTGGGACCAGGCAACGGCGGAGTTAATTACCTTTATTGGTAGATATTAAATTTTTTCCAAGAGGTCGTTTGTCTTTACGACCTGAAAGATCTTTTGCGAATACCATTGATTTCCAAATTGGGGCAATATTAAGGTAGACTTCTTCTTGATGTCCTATCCGTTACGAATGTTGGCGATCATCATGACAATCTTCATCTTATCTGCAGCAGCGCGGAAAAGCTGTACAGTTGTTGTATTGAACCAGATTCTGAGGTTCTTTAACCAAGATGTTCCTCTTCTTCCTGGACTCGCTTTCCAAATATTTTTTCGTGCAGGATGGCTTGAACGAGAGCATATCTTGATTCATTTCGCATAATATGTCCGAAGAATTGTAACTTTCAAGATTTAATGGTTGTCAGTACCTCTCGGTTCTTATTCATTCATTCTGACGACCTCCTCATTTGTGACTGGATCAGTCCATATATACTTCGATATAGCCACATCTCAAATGCTTCTAGTTTTTTGCACATATCTTCGTTCAAGGTCCACGATTCAACAACATAAAAAAGGACAAAGGAGTCGTAGCATCGCAGCAATCTTACTTTTGTATCAAGAGAGAGGTTCTCTTGAAGAACGCCCCCATCCGATTGAGGGTGGATCTAGCTTTTCCGATGCGTGCTCTAATCTCTGGTTGTTGGTCCATTCTTCATTTATTATGGTGAGGAGGTAGTTGTACTGCGTCACTCTTTCTACAGGAGATTGTTTGACGAAGAGTTGACCTTCTGTTATCCTTTTCTTGCTAATTATTATAAGCTTTGTCTTCTTAACGTTTATATTAAAAGTCCATATTGTTGACTGTAATACGTGATTTTGTTCATAAGAACTTGTAGGTCTTCTAAGTTGTCCGCAAATACTTATGGTCATCTTAATAAGGTGTCATCCGCGGGGAACAAATAGCGGTCCATCATCCTTCTATTGCCTCCGGGTGCTCTGTATAGGGCTTCGGAGACGTCAACGAAAGCACCTCTACCCAAGTCTATTTACAGGATATAGACTTGTTAAGTTCTCTTCTCATGAGTCAGGGACCAATAGGAAAAATGAGGGGCGGGGCAATGCGTCTCGAGCACGTACTAGTCGCGTCCGAGAACACATTCTAATGTTGTTTAGCTGGTAACTAGTAGAATACCTTATTCAGTTTCGTACAAAACTTCGATAAATATTCTTTCAGCGTAGAGATTGAAGATTAGAGGAGACAAAATGCAGCTTTGCCTCGCTCCACTCATGATTTTCACATAGTCAGTGTGTTCATCTTCAACACCAAGATTTGCTGTCTGATTCCAGTGAAAATTTAAAATTATTTTTCAGATCTTGGTTGTTAATTCCTGCTTCTTTTAGTATTTGCATCATCTTGGCGTGCTGTACTCGATCAAACACTTTCTCGTAATCAACCAGACATGCGTATACGTCGCAGTTGACGTCTCTGCATCTTTGGAATATGACTTGTATGGAGAACAAAGCCTCTCTAGTACCAACAGCATTTGTGAACCTGAACTGGTTGGGGGAAATTTGACTTTCACAGAGCTTGTAGATTCTTTTATGAATTATCTTTAGAAACAATTTTAGGAGATGACTCATGAGGCTTATAGTACGGTAATCTTCGCATTTTTTGGCTCCTGGTTTTTTTGGAAGTGCAATAAACTCAGATTTCAGCCATTCTGTTGATATTTCTCCAGAGTTGTATATGTCGTTGAATATTTTTGCGATTATTGCTATTGAATCGTTGTCTATTAGTTTGAGTAGTTCTGCTTGTATATTATCAGGGCCTGCAGCTTTGCCATCCTTTAACTGTATTATTGCGGAATAAACTTCATGCTGTAATATTCTTGGTCCATCACTTATCTCTTCTTCTAGCTCAAAGGTGTTATCTCTTTGGTCTTCAAATAATTTTTCTAAATATTCTTTCCACGTTCTTATTTTACTGTTTGTCCAAGATGATGTTTCCGTCAGAATCAGTTATATTTCCTTTCTGCTTTCGTCTTAGTCCTCATGAGAGTTCTTTAACTTTCCTATGTACATTGTGACTATCGTACTTTGACTGCAGAGTCTCAATTTCTTCGCATCTTTCCCTTGCTTCTTTTCTTTAGCTTCTCTGATTTTCGTTCTTATTAATATATTTATGGTTTTATATTTGTCCTGGTCAGTTTTGGCTTCTCTTCTCTTGTCCTTTAGTTTCAGGATCTCATCTGTCATCCATGATTTTTTCTTCATTAATCTATCTATCTAGAATTTATCCTTTACATTTTGCACTATTTCTGTAACTTGTTTGATCAATTGTTCTTCGTTCAATTCGTCTTTAACTGCAGTCACTTGCTCGTTTAAAGTGGCTTGGACTCTTATCTTCGTATCAAGGTCTTTTAGCATTTGCAGGTCATAATATGATTGTGCTTTTCTTTTCTGCACTGTTTTGAGTTTGACTCAAAATACTCCCACCAGTGGAATGTGGTCTGTCTCCAAGTCTGCTCCAGGATAACTCTTGACACATGTAAAGCTGTTTTGGAATCTTTTATTTACTAAAATGTAGTCTATTTGTTTCCTAATAATTCTCTGGGGTCTGTCTTGAGGGGATTTCCACGTGTACAGCTTGCGAGGTGGTAATTGGAAGAATGTGTTGCTGACAACTAGTTCTGAGTCTTCTGCAAATTTTTCTATGAGGTCTCCTCTCTCGTTTCTGACTCCAAGTCCATGTGCTCCAATGTACTGTTTCATCTCCAGCTCCAATCTTGGCATTTAAATCGCCCATAATGATGAGAACTTCCTGTCTAGGGATTTTCTGTATAATACTGTTGATGTTCTGATAGAACTTTATTGCTTCTTCCTCCTCTTTGTCTGCAGTGGGAGCATATATACAAGGTAGACACGACATCCTTAAGTATTAGTCAACAAGGCCTAGCTATTGTCAACATTTGTGTGTTATTCGCACCAATCAGTCCATATCCATTAAGGTGGGCCGTTGGGTAATGTTTTTATTTTTTTTTTTCTTTAATGAAGAATGAAGCCGAAGCTTCTGTTACTATTTTAATGGCCCTCTCATCTACTTCTTTATGACAAGGATATGCTGTTACATACCTGCTTTCAGGATTTTCAACAACTTCCCTTAGTTGGTCTTTTGATAGCTTCATAGTTACAGAATTTCTCCAAACAACAAAAAAGAACAATTATTGGAAATATTAGCCTACCAAAATTTTCTAATCAAATTAGCTTATCTGATATACAATTCTCTTTTTACCCTTTTTAAGTTTCTTATTATACTCAGTCAGAGTTTAACTATAATTGCCCCACTCACTTTATTTTTTAGTGAAATTAAATCCGTACTTTGTTACGTGGTTAAATATCAGAAACATTTCAGTATTTACTGATTACAAATTTAAAAAATGTTAAAACTGCTTTCCCTAAAAAGTAAGAAAATGGACATAGTGTTCTTTACCTCCAAGGTACGGAAATTATCATCTGACTTGTGTCCTTTGATTTGCAAGGTTGTTATTCCACCAGAATACTTTCCTCTTGGAAAGTCACAGTCAGCCTACTCCAAAATATTTGATACCTCAAAGTCCCTCAGTTTACTGTTAATTTATTGTTAGCTCCAAGCTAACAACAGGAAACTCATACCACAAAGTTTTTAATTTTTTCTTCCTTTATTTATATCCTAATCATTCTCTTAAAGCTTCTCTGTAGTACACAAATTTGTAAAGCAGACATGATTGTTCATATTTTGAATTATTGTTAGAAACAAATATTTTATTATATATAAAAAAACAACAATGCAAATTACAAAACTACTGATACAAAATATCATAATGTCCTGGACGGTAGAGTAAATGAACAGTGGGGGTGCATCCTTCAGGCAGATCATGTTCAGTACAAATTTTCCCAGTACCTCTGTCCATATATACCACTCTAACACCAGTATTTAGAGCAGCACAAGCTGCAATTATGTGGATGTGGTCACTCTCTTTATACATAGGCTCCACTTCCTGGTGACAAAAATCAGCTACCTATAAATGAGAACTATTTCAATTTTTAAATCTTAAAACATTCTTCAGAAATATAAATACAGGCAATAGTTATTATATAAAAATCTAACTGTCAATATAGTTATAGTAATGACAAAGAATTGTTTTTAAATCTATAAGAAACCTTTTTCTTGTAGCTAACTAATGAGGTATACTAACTAAATGTTTCAAGCCAAATCTTATTAAATGTATTTTCTAGTTTAATTATACACACTAATGTAATGGATATATGGGACTAAGGATAGAGATGTTGAAAGATGAAAAAAAAAAGGTAGAGAAAAACCAAAGAGAAGATGGAAGGACTGTGTGAAAGATAACTTGGGAGAGAAAGGTTTAGGTGAAGAAGACAATGGATATAAATTAGTGGCAAAGAAAAGTAAGGAAAAGCCACCCCTGAAAAGGGAAAAAAGGAAGAAGGAATGGAAAGATAGGAATGTGTTGATTTTTTGCATTTTATGTATATTTATTCAGTTTTAAATGTGTTGATTAGAAATGAATACCTACCGTTCTATCACCTTCTATAAAACAACTGTAAAATTCGTGCTCCTTTTGTAACTGGCCGCTGGTTAACAATCTGAGATAGACAACCAAATAATCTGAGAAACCTTGATCATTAAACACACTAAATAATTCTTTAAGAGCTTCATCAATAGTATCTATATCTTTTAGTCTTTTGAGGACATCAATATACTGCAAATAAATAAAAAATATATAACTAAAACTAGCCAGCTTTTATACATTATATATTGTTCTATGTAAAGAACAAGCTATAAGAGTGACTTACAGTATCATAAAAATCTTCTACTGTGAACTGTTGGAACCCTAGCGACACTAAAGCTTCTTTACTAGAAGCTGCTACATTATAAAACTCTTCAAATTCCTCTTTTTTCTTCAGTAATCTTTCTATGTTAGCATACAAAAATGCTCTAAAGAAGCAGTTACCATCTGGTCTGGTTCGGCGAATGAATTTATATTTAGTAGCAAGGTTGCTAACTTTTTCGAGGTATATATCATCTGATGAATATTCATTATTTAGTGAAGTAACAGGTTCCAAATCTCCTAGAAGAGGTATCGATTCTGAAATCTAAAGCTTTTGCTTAATATAAACATAACCCCACTTTATTACAAATTACCTCTTGTTCAATTTGCCTCTGCTGAGCCATTATCATTTCATCCCGGTTGGGCTGTGGTTCATTTTCAGTCACTTTATTGTTCAAGTTTTCAACCTGGTCGCCCATGGTGGAGATAAAAGCTCTGATCAATTGAAAACAATTATTACAACTTGCACAAAAATTTGTACACACTATTTATTAACGAACTATTCGTTCAGATAAACCTTTTTGATCACAATATCAATTATGTGATACGGAGATTATTAATATATGTACTTTAATACGTTATAGTTTATATATCAGAGAACGCGAAATGGCCATAAATAAATTAGCATCACCAAAAACTCTCACCCTGCGAAATCACTGTCAATGGATCAACCAAAAACCAAACCAAGTTTTTTAACGTTTAACCTGATAAATTTCATATTTATACAAATCAATACAACTAACAGTTAGATAATATTAACACACCTGTGTATTTTGGGTTGTCTAAAAAAGGTTAACATAATTTGAAAAATTAAATCATGAAAAATCACCATCAGGTAAGTTCTCATACACAAAAGATTGATTAATTTTGATTTAATTTTAATTTTTAATCACATAATAAATAACAATTATTTATTATTCCGTGCTATCATGAACATAAAAATATCTGGGTTCAGTTTACCGAAAGTACAAGCTGATTATAGCCGCAAATGTTAAACATGGAACAAAAAATTTCGATATAGCAGTGTTGGCATGTTTTTATAAAGACAGTTTTACATTATGCTATTTTCATGCTAGGCAAGAGCCATGCAAGACAGATCATGGAACTGCGCATGCCCGCGGGCTATTTCCATGCAATTCCTGTGCTAGACGAAAAATTAGAACATGTTCTATTTTTCATGCAATTCTCTTGCAATTTATCGTTAAAATTCATGTTGCCAACATAACAATTTATAATAGATTACAGAATAAAACATAACCTTATCTCTATCTTTAGCCCACGTGTGTATTGTTGTGTTTTGCTTTAAATTAAGTTTATTAAGTGGTGATAAATAGATATTACTATGTCTAAAGTTAATGTAAAAACGACTGGGTGAGTCGTTGACTATGGATGATTGTTGCTACAACAGCAATATTCAACAATAACAATGTTTTCTTTTCTTTGGTTGACATCCTTCACCCTTTTAACAACCATAAATAGTGTATATTTATTTATTATATTATTTATTGTAGTACTTAATTATATTTATAAAAAATAAATAACCTCAAATTGATAAATATTTTCTCTGTTGGCAACAATGAAAGTGGGATCTAAAATTGCACAGAAATATCTCTGATGTAAAAAGGTCAAGCTCATGGCCTGGAATCTTATATGAATGATTTGGTTCATTCCCCCATCACTTTGACCCCAGCGAGTTAATAAAGAGAAATGACAGCCTATCTCTCTCACGAAGACTTTAACCAATCATAAACCAAATAAAATAATCAAACGACCACAGACCACTGTAGGTGATCTGTGCAAACGACGCAATGTCAATCCAAAGTAATGACAGATCTTCCGTTTGTTTACAAGTTTTCAATTTTATTTTATTATCTTTAACTTTCGTTTGCATTTATTCTTAGTAATTTTAATTTAAATTTGGTTACTTAATTTTTAAAGTTACCTATTGTACCAAAGAATTTTTGTGTAGTGCTAGTAACAAAACTAAACATGGTGAATTATTGTATTGTTCGTTGTGTACAAATCATGGAAAAAATTACAAAAAGGATGATAGTAAGTTGTCAGGAAGCAAAAAATAATAGTATTTAACTTCTGAAAATATGTGTAATAAATATTATGTAATTATTTTATAACTGTTTTATCTTAAACAACAAATAAATATACGTATATCTAGAAAAAATTGTGCATCTTTTATAATAATATATCTTATTTTCCAATAAATTTTAATTAGTAACGAAATAGCCCTCAAGAGGCGCTAAAGGGTATGTATGTGAGGGGTGTTCATTCGAATTTGCCGCCAAAAGATGATTAGTATTGACCCCAGCCGCAAGGGGCCTAATGAACGAAATTTATACATTGAGTTGCCTATCTATTTCTACTATTATATTATTTATCTATGGTCAAGCTAGGCAAGAGATGTGCCATGCAAGACGGACTTGCATAGCATGAGACTTGCATAGCCTAGATGTAAAGCTGCCTTAATGTAGATACTGTATGCTTCAAATATAAAGATAAAGCTTTAGAAAAGTACATTTTGTTTACATTATGTTATAAATTTTGTTATTTTCTGAAGAAGTTCATAGACTTCTCATGGACGGGCGACTCTGACATTTTAGGATAAGAATAGGTTTAAACAGGGTTTAAAATAAAATACCGTTTGCTCACAGAACAACAATTTTTAATCCGAAACCATAAAATTTCTGTGAATAAATAAACTTTCTGAATATAAGAATATATTTGAATTATGCAATATTTTTAGAAAAAAGCTGCGAGAAAAACCATAACAGAATCTGCGGACTTTAATTCGAAATTGTCTTAATGATGACCTTATATTATTATATACTCCATTCGCTTAGCTCGGGCATTATTTGACAGATTCATGGTCGGAAACCTACAACCATCGAGCAAAAAGACAATAGAGGGAATGTAAAGGTAGTGGGGGCAAACATATTGTTAGACAGGAAGTGCGATCTTTAGAGGCCACTTTTAAACAAGGATAGAGAGTCTCTCTCCTTGTTTGACATCAAATTTAGTTGGGTTATGTTATTGTTTGTCCCAAATGTCACATGAAATCTTATTTATATTGAAGTTTTTTAACAATTGTGTCGCATTTTAGACTCTTATCATTAATAATTAATTAAAACTTTCTCGTCTAAGACACATTCTGAAAAATATTATATAGCTACTGTTGATAAGTATCGGAAAATTTAAATTTCGCGCATTCGCATTTCCGGATATGTCCGCCATCAGAGGCCACTTTTTTGGTCTCCTTTTCATAAGGATTAGATTCCCTCTTTTGTCTTATTGCTCGATGCCTACAACACAACAATTCCTACTTCTTAGTATTAATAGCTCAAGTATACTACTATTGCAGACTTCTTTCTTTGAAAAAAGAAGAATTATTCTAAATAGTGGAAGTACATACCAAAGAATATAGATCAGCGTCTATTCTTTACGCATACTAAACCCATCAATTTTGGGTAGTATATATTTAAAAAATATATTTTAGTTGTTATAATTTAACATAACTATTTATGGTGCAGATAAATAAATATTGATTGTCGGTAATTCGCAAAGTTCTATTTTATTTACTATTTAGTTTGTTTACAATTAATACTTGCTATGAGTACGTGTGCTTGGTTGCTAGCCAATTTCCAGCCACTTTTAATCTGTCAAAAAGTAACTAACTTCGCAAAAAAATAATTACTAAATTCACTAGACAGTTCGGACTAGGAATAGCTAACCGAGTATATCTAAAAATATTTAAAAACCATGTTGATATTGGCACAGAATAATAATAGTTTATTATTATGTGGTGTTGGTGTTTGCAATGAATTTATTCTGTGGTCACAGAATAATAAACAATTGTTTATTATTCTGTGCTGTGGTAATGACGTTGGCAACTGTTGTTTAGTGGGCGACGCTGGTGGTAGATTTTAAAAGTATCCACTTCGGGAAAACATTGAAATTGTCATTATTTTGTATACATATTAGCGACCGGTTTGTATTGTAATTAACAATAATTTCGACTTCAAATAACTATTGCAGTGTTCCTCAATGTTTATCCTATTATAATTCACAAAAGATAAGTTTCTGTTGAACGAGAATATGAAAAAAGTTTGGAAATACATTTTGTGAATTAGCAAACTTATAACCAAGTACGTGACTGTGCAGTTTACATTTTACTGAGAACAATTACTTTCCAAGTGTTGATTAAAATATTATTTCTATTTTATATATTTATTTTTTATTTACTTTAATTTAACACCTGAAACTAAGTTGAGAAGACTGAAGAAAAATGTTGTTCCATCAGCTAAATTGCCCCAACGGTCTCATGAATTTATTAGTAGAAAACGTAGGCGTAATTTACAAAATAAAACGTGGCCAGCTAAAAAAACTGCCTCACCCTCAACTAAAGATCTCTGCCGATCTTGCAACCATATAAATAATTAAGATAATGTAAACTTTACTTCCCGTGTTTCAGACGTACTGTAGAAAAATAAACATTTAATTTTATTTTTATTCAGGTTTGGGTGGGAGTCAATTACCTTATGTATAATCTCGAATCACAAACAAATAAACTTTGAAGAACGTACTCCAACTTTTACTTTGGCAAAACATACGCGTAAATGATTTATATTAAACGTTTTATACCTTAGAGATCAAATGACAAAATGATTTGTTTTCCCCAGAGATATGTAAGAGAGGGGATATGACACAAACGATATTTTTGTATCTACTAAATGGGACCACTTATTTTGACATCATGCACTCTCCAATATGGCGACGGGCAGGTCCGGATTCAAATTAATTCAAACTGTATTTACGATTTATTGTTTAGTTTGGGAATAAGCATTGAGATAGATTAATAATAGTTATTTGGAATAAAATTACTTTCATTTTTAGTACTCTTCAAGTACACTTTAATAATAATTATAAAAATTACATACATAAAGTTTAAAAAATGTACAAAACCAGTCTATGATATGGTTTTAAAATTATAACATTTACATACAAGTAAAAAACAACAATTAGCAAGTGCACTTACATAAATTTATATACATTTAGATGTTAGTTTCATGTACTATTAATATAAATTATATATAATTATTTTATATATTTATATAAAAAATATAAAAATTAGTTATTGTGTATAGGTAGGTAGTTAAGGAATTGTATCAAAGACTTTATCAAAAGGCTTTATTATATTGATGTTAACAATGTTTACAAAAATTTTTAAACAATATTTTTATTTTATTTTTTTTATATAAATTTGACTTCAAGAACTAGTTTTCTACTTCCGTTATCACACATTTATTATTATTACACATAAGCAAGGTCAAAGAGACAGGTCCCTATTATGACAAAACACAAACGAATTACATAAGTAACCTACCAGTAGATACGATATATATATATATATATATATATATATATATATATATATATTATATATATATATATAATATATATATATATATATATATATATATTGTTATGATTTTGTATTTTTGATTTTAATTTATTTACTTGAAACAATCACAAAAATATACTTTCTCGTTATCAATGTCCTAAAAATAAACTTCTGATATTTCTTATGTTCAGTGAGTTCAAAGTTTTCTAGTTGTATTTATCGGGATAGGAAAAACAAAGGATAATAATAAAAAGTATAATACATAAAATA